AACAACTCCTTCATGAATGTGCATGATGTTTCGACTAGAATGGATGAACATCTCCCTTGGTCGAATGGTCTTGTGATGATTCATTTTGGCACGAAGGATTAAGCATGTGCATAGTGTGTTCACATGGTGTGGACGAATAGTCATAAGGCTTGTCTCAAACCTCTTCGAGAATTAAACCTCCTTTTGATGAGATATCTTCACCAACGTGCACTTAAGTGTTATGACATCGGCATGGACAGAAACTTTCACGAAAGGTCACAATGTTTGGAAGGTAACCTTTCATGTTTGAGCTAGTTCCAAAGTGATTGAGCTGAAAGTAAAATGGTCATAGGTGAGTTGTATCATGATGAGTCTTTTGGCAGCTCCTCGTGAAAAGTCATATCCTGGAAATGAACCTCTTCATGAAAAGGTACGATTTGTGAAAATTTAACTTGTCCCATATTTTAAGTACTCTGATGTGTGATGATGATGATGCAGCTCCTCAACTGATTTGAGTAGCCTACCTATCTCAAAAGTCTAGCTCAAGTCAGCTATGAGCTCAGAGTGCAGCTGACAATGTTTCTCCAAATTGATCCTTAGCTTCCCCAAAGTTGCCTTGTTAAGTTCCCATAGCTTTGGACTCCATTTGCTAGCTTAAGTCACCTCCCAATCTGTGGCCGCCTATGTACCTTAGCAAAGAAACATAATATAAGGTAAGTAATTCAAATAATAAACATATAATATATAAATGTGGACTATAGGTTATAATAATAACTCATGCATTATATGATAATGAATAAATATTTTTATAACTATAGATTATATGCATGAATATCAATCAATGATGGAAACCATAGGACATAATGAATGAATGCACATGTTATGATAATTCAAGTATAGTCTAATATGCAAATGTATGCTCATAATAATATATAGTGCATAAATGAGTAAATATAAAATAAAGTAAGATAGAACTCCCTTAGATTGGGCTTGATGGATCTTCAATGATGTGAGTATGTCATGAAGAAAGTTGATGCTAGACAGGATCACATCATCCCCTTCTTTTAGGTGATTTGTCCTCAAATCGAGAGGGTTCTTCAATGAGAATTTATGTGTTGTTTGTGTAATCAAATCATGCTTGGATGATGAAACAACTTCATGAAACTTTCCTTTGAAGTAGATGTCTCCAAAAGAGTTTTCTTCGAAAAGATCTTCCAAACATCTCTCTTTTGGATAGACGTTCCTAACAAGTTCCTTTTCGGAAACATCTTCTTTAAGAGACACCTTATTTGAAGAGTTACCAACTCGTTCATCCTGCAAAATGAAAAAAAGAAATCTTTAGAGACCTTGGTTAGCAAAGGGTATGTTAATCATAGATAACTTCGAATGATACTTCCCATTCATCTCTTTATGTGAAAAGACATATATCCATTTGATCTCTTCTTGGTGTTGATTTGAAGCATCACGTCCATTGTAGTAGGAATATGTCTTTTGGTTCAAAACATCATGTTCTTTGGAAAAGGTATTTAACTCTTTATCTCTACTCCTTGAACCATCATGATGGTTTATGAAGATTCTTGACCTTTGTAATCCTTCAAGTATGTAGAAGATGTCAATTCCTTTAAGCTTTGTACCTTTCCAAATAATGGCTTTTGAGTAGGTAGATAATGCTCGCTTCATCTCCTCGAATTGATGATCACAAGCAATAACACTACCATGTAAATGATTCCATGTACTGCAAAATAAAATTAAGTTAGTACATGAAACATCATTAACAAAGTGAATGAACACACAAGATTCATTGAAGCTCATGAATAAAATTTGGTTCGTTGAAACTTCCCTTTCATAAGGTTCATTGGATCTTGAATATAAGGTAAATAAACTTTGAAGGTTAATGAACATGTTCTTTGGAGTTTCAAGTGACACATCTTTTGGAATTTCAAAAGAAATGATGCCTTAATCGTCTTGTATGTCCCTTGGAATAACCTGCAAACTCAAAGAACAAATAGAATAAAAAAATTGATTAGTAGAAAGCAAACATTTCTTCTTCTCACATTTTTTTCTCTCATGCTCATGTTTGTTTTCAATTCTCTATTCAATCTCACATTCTTTTTGAATTTTCTCTTCACTCTATTGTTTTGTTAGAATGTTTTCTTCACTCTCACACTCATGTTCATCTTTACTCTCAATCTTTTCAATGCCCTCGTTTTTATTTTCAATCACTCCAATGATTTTCTTGCACAAAGTCTCATTATCAACTACAAATGTCTTGGTTTTATCACAACGTTCTTATTACATGGCATCAAAGTTTTTCTTTAGATGGTGTTGATCTTGAAGAACTTGTTGTGATGATAAATGAGTTAACGTGATTCGCCTTCTCCCATATATGAATGAGTAACGATTTAAGAATCCATCATCAGTGGCACTTTTACCAAATTGCCACGGTCTTCTAAGTAGTAAATGAGTTGTGCATAGTCTGAGCTATTGATAACTCCGCAAAAGATAGTGTTCTGGGTCTTTTTACTTAGGTTATTGTTTTCCTAAAAGCTATTTGTCATAGCATTTTATTTGTTTACAGTTGCATGTAGTATACAATTTCATATGGTGGATAAGTTTTGCCAAGGTAAAATTTATTTTTTTAATTGATGCCGCTGAAGAATGAGGTTGTTTGCTGGTTGTGTTGATGAAGGAAATGATGAAGGAGGAATTTATTTGTCGAGGCAAAGAAATTATCCAGTGCTAGACGACAATGAGGAACATATTTTCTGGCCAAGGCAAGATTTATGTTGCACGTCTGATGTGGCTCAACAGAACTGCTGACTTCACTTGCCCAGATTCATCCTCGTGTGTAATGATACCCTAATCAAGGAAATTGACCACTTTCACCTGTTATGTCATTTATAAAGTGGGTTTGTCAACAAGAGTATTTAGGGATTTTCCAAGGGAACCAAACCCTAGAAATTCCCACTATAAATACTCCATTATAGCTTTTCAAAAAACTGCACAATCAATGAGAGAATATACCCTAGGCTTGAAGTAAACAGCTCCAGCACCCTACCTTTCTACCGTTCCCCACTCGACCTTCCTTGGCGCCCTCCATAGTTGGGCTTCATCAGAGCAGTGATCAGGCCCTCGAGAGGGGCTGGCCACTGGAACAGACATGGTGGTGGTCAGAATGTCATGATAGAGCTCTTATTTTGGGATTTTTTTATTCCTTTGTTCTTCATATTCATATCATGTTAAGGGTTGTACTTAAAGAATGATTTTTGGATGATATTCACCATACCATGAACTGTTTTACTTGATGTTGGTTTTTGTTTTGTCAAAACATTATTTGCTTGTTAATGAATGATGCATTTTGTTTATGCTAAGTGTTGTTTTGTTCATTGTTTAAATATTTTTCCTTGGCATTGTAAGAGCTTTAGAGAGATTACCTGGTGGTTTGGAAAAATATTCTTAGACTTTGTAAGAGTTTTCGAGATATTGTTATTCTTCTAGGAGTTAGGGTAGATCTACATGAAAAATGAAACTAATCCGGGGTGGTGAGGTTCTAATCTGCCTTAGAGATGAGGATAAAGTTTCATTTTACTAAAAAGGTTAAATGCTTGGGTAAGATATGCAAAGACTATAGTTTACGCTGAGGGGTATTACCACAATAACAGTTTGACAAACCAAGGTTGTAGTTCATGCCGAGTAGTATTGTTGTAGTAACCATCCTTGAATACTCTAGTAATCCTATTGGGCAACCTAAGCATAGCACACTAAGGTATTCCATACATGGAATAACTTTTTTCCATAGAAAAATCAATCTAAGTGCTCTGCACAAAGTCTGATTGTGTGAGGTTTTTCTGAATATATTGAACTCAACATTTTTATTTGCTTTGACAAAAAAAATTGTTTACTTTTGCATAATTTTCTTGCCTCACCAAACTTTTCTGCACACCACACTATACAATATTTCTTGCCTCGACAATACTTTTATATATGTTTATACATTTGATCCCGCTTGCTTTCCTTTTCGATAAGAACCATAAGACTAGCTTGTGACACCTAGTTATAGTTGTAGCAAAACAATAAAAATTCACACCAATTCTTGTGGAGATGATACTCAACTTACTACTATATTACTTGCATTGATTGTGTACACTTGCACAGATTTGCTTGCCTTAGCATAGGCATTTATAAGCGATCAAGTTTTTGGCGCTGTTATCGGGGATTTGTAACTGGAGGAATTTTGATAATTTCTTCCATAGCAATTTTTATTTTCTTGTCACATTTTCTTTCTTTATTTTTGACTTGTTTTTGTTTATTATTTTTTTTAGGTTTTTTTCATTTCATGAACAGGAGATCTGCTGACTAACCAATAATACCATTTAACTCTGAGATCTAGCAGTCATACAGACAAAGGCGACATACTCAACGTGCTAGATACTATATGAATCGACTGTAGTATCAAGCTCATAACCCTATAGAAGACCAGGTAGATATTAATGTCGCAGCAAATAATATTCTCCAAAATGTTGCAAGACCACGAGCTATACGAGATCACTTAAATCATATTCTCAATGATACCCTAGAATCGTGGCACCAGAATTACAGGTAGCTGACTTCAAACTCAATTCGGTGATGTTCAACATGTTCGATTTTATCAGTCAGTTTGGCAGCTTGCCTAATGAAGATGCTAGAAAACATGTGCGTTATTTCCTTGAGGTGTGCGACTTCTCTAGATAACAAGGTGTACACGAGGACGTGCTGAAACTAAAGTTATTCCCATACTCTTCGTACGACCGAGAAAGAGCATTGTTGAGTGGAGTCTCATCCGACTCAATGGAATCTTGGGCTGACTTATGCAAAATTTCCTGCTTGGATACAACATGCCCAATATACACACTCAGCTCCGCAATGACATTGCAAGTTTTCGCCAAAGCTATGACGAATCTATGTATGAGTGATGGGACATATACAAGAGTTTGTTTCTCAAGTGCACTAACCATGGATTCCACAACTGGACTCAGGTCGTCATGTTTTACAATGTTGCCAATGCACCTACTCGCTTGATGTTAAATGCATCGGTGAATGGCACCTTGCTTGACAAATCACCCGAGAAAGCCTTTGATATCCTCAATCGGATAACCAATAATGACTATCAAATCTCTTCTACAAGGCTTGGAACCGACAGAAAAATATCTAGGGCGTATGAACTTGACAGTAAGGAATCAGTTTCAGTCCAACTTTCTGCCATAACTAACATGCTGAAAAATTTGCAACGTTCTAGTGAGGTGAAAGAAGTCAAGGCAACTAACTCAGCATGCATTTTCTGACGCAACAACCATCATGAGAATGAATGCCCAGAAAACCAAGAGTCCATGAATTTTGTGGGAAAATTCAACAGAAGCAACAACAACCCCTACTCTAATACATACAATCCTGGATGACGACAACATCCAAATTTTTTGTGGGGTAATCAAGGGAACAACAATGACAATTATGCATGCAATTTTAATAGGTCACAACAAAACATTTATGAGCAGTCAAGTTAGAAACATCAACAGATGCTCTGGCAAGGTAACAATAAAAGTAATGCATCTTCGTCAAATTTTAACTCCATTGAAGCTTCACTGCAGGAATTTATGGCCTCCACAAAAGATTTAATGACTTCAATAAAAACCTTGATACATGAGCACTCATCGACAATTAAGAATCAAGGTGCTTTATTACAAAGCCAAACAACTCTATTTCAAATCCATAGATCATCATTAAGATCATTGGAGAATCAAGTGGGCTAAATAGCCACAATAGTACTTTCTCGGCCGCAAGGAACCCTCCCTAGTGATACTCAAGTCACTAAGCCTCATAAGAAGAAGCAATTTAGTGCGCTTACACTTAGGAGTTGTACCTGAATTAATCTTTATGATAAGTTTGGGGGAGAGAAGCAAGAAATTTCTCGCCAAGGCACTACACATCAAGAATATGAAGATCTAGATAAAATTGTTGAACAATAAGAACTGCTTAAGGAGAAAGAAAAGGACGCAACTTCAATAAGTCATCACATTGATGCTAAAATTTATTTGCCAAGGTAAAAGTTTCATCACCACCTGCAGAGGATAAAGTTAGACCCCCACCACCCTTCCCTCAGTGGTTGAAGAAGCGTAATGACGAGATTCAGTTCAAAAAGTTTGTTGATGTTGATGACCAATTGCATATCAATGTTTTCTTACTTAAAGCCATTGAGCAAATGTCTTCCTCTGCCAAATTCTTGAAGGACGTTGTCACAAAAAAGAGAAAGGTGAGAAGAATAGAAATTGTTGCCACGATAATAGAATATAGTTTGGCAATGAATAAACTTTCGCTGAAGCAAAATGATCCTAACAGCTTTATTATACCATGTTTCATTAGTGAAAAATATTTGGGAAAAGCTCTTTGTGACTTGGAGTCAAGTGTAAATATGATGCCTAAGTCCATATTTTTAAAGCTTGGAATGGATAATGGTCTACCAACAACCGTGATTCTACAACTAGCTGACTGATCATACGCTCGTCCTGACGGTAGAATTGAAGATGTTATTGTTAAAGTGGAAAAGTTTGACTTTCCAGCAAATTTCCTAATTTTAGATTGTGAGGCCGATGATAATGCATTTATTATTCTATGGCTCCCCTTCCTAGCTGTCGGGCGTATTCTAATAGATTGTGAAAAATGAGAGTTCACGATGAGGGTGGTTGATCAAAGCGTCACGCTCAATGTCTTCAACACTCTTAAATACATTGATGATTCTGAAGAATGCCATTACATTGAAGATATTGATTCAATGGAGGAAGCTGGAATAAAAAATTCTGACCAAGTTGAATTTTTACATATCGACGAGTACGACAATCTATGGCAAGACAAAATTTCAGAAGGAAGAGTGTAAAAAATTTTCCACGATGATGTTTTACATCCAGAGGGATACAATAATTTTTACCCAGGTGAAATTTTTCTGAACGAGGCATACAAAGATATTTTCTTCGAAAAAAGTTTTTTGATTGAAGATGATCAAAGACATACTAAAGATTGAGCAAATACGGAGTCTGAGAAGAATTCATTGGCGAATGAACAGTCTAGTTTACTTCAAGCTAGACCATGTATGAGATTTGAACCCCTTGATTTTAATGAATTTTTTCCTCCAAAACCTTTGCTGCAGCATGCAACTACCTTAGAACTTAAATCGTTTCCATCACATTTGAAATATGTGTATCTAGGTAGTGATAATACTTTACCAGTTATAATTTATGTTAGTCTAACCCCCGAGCAAGAGGGTAGCTTGTTGAATATTTTTTCACAGCAGAGAAAAGCTCTAGGTTGGACTATGATAGACTTAAACGAATCAGCCCTACAATATGCATGCACAAGATCCAGCTAGATAATTGTCATAACAACTCAGTGGAACCATAAATGAGACTTAATCTGATAATGAAAAAGTGGAAATGAAGGAAATCATCAAATGGCTCGATGCTGGGGTGATCTATCCCATATCCAATAGCTCTTGGGTCAGTCTAGTTCAATGTGTGTCGAAGAAAGGTGTGTAGTGACTGTGGTAAATAATGAAAATGATGAGTTTTTGCCTACTGGAACCGTCACGGGCTGGTAGATTTGCATGGATTATAGAAAGCTCAACAACGTAACAAAGAAAGACTACTTCCCCCTTCCTTTCATCGATCAAATGCTTGATCCGTTAGAAGGCAAGGTATTTTACTATTTCCTTAACAAATATTATGGGTATAATCCGATCTCCATAACACCTGAGGATCAGGATAATACCACCTTCACCTGCTCATATGACACTTATGCTTTTAGAAGAATGTCGTTCAGACTATGCAATGCTCTGACAACTTTTCTGATGTGTGTGATTGGCCAAGTAACATCGACTTCAAGAGAATTTCAAGTCGAACCTTATTAGGTATAGATAGACTTCAAATTAGATCATTTCGAATAAATTACTTCGCGTTTTTGACAAGTGACGTCTAATTATAATTGTATTATATATAATATATTAATATAAGATATATGCTTATAGCATTATATGTTTATAACCTTTTAAATCACAAATAATATTAAATAAATAAATTTCAAGTAAAAAAAATATCATCTTAATTGTATTTATAAGTCAAATTTATCCACGATTTTTTCTCGACATTTATTTGTTTATTATCACTATTTTTTATTTTATAATATCATTTTTAAAAAAATATTTTATATTTTTAAAATTAATTTTTCACAATAATTTTTACAAGCTCTCAAAAACAGTAGTAAAACATAAAAGAAAACGGACATCTAAGCTGTTTTGCTTGACCATATTGGTCCTGGGTTTTTTTTTTTTTTTTTGCCTAATAAAACAAATGTGTAAATTATTTGGGAAAGTAGGGTAAGTAGAAGTTTATTTTGGGAGCTACTGTATTTTTTATAGTGTTCGTGAAATTCGTCACGTCGACGTTATGAGTTTTAATAAAAAAATATTTTTTATTCAAATTCGTCCCCTCGAGATAACGATTTCCAATAAAATATAATTTTTATTAAAATTTATTACATCGAGTTCCATGCACTGCAAAAAATATCGTATATCCCAAAATAAAAGTGTATGTGTCTTATTTTTATAAATTTATTTTTCAGGCTGCCCTATTTGGGCAAAAAAAACCTATTGGTCCCATTGTTGGACTTGTTGGATCCATTGGGCTGAAGACCCATGTTGTTCGGATGATGCCGTATAATGCTCGGTTTCAATTTGGAATAACTGGTTTAAAAGTTCAATTCGACATTTTAACGATAAACGTTTGCATTATTTATGGATCCCAGATATATTTTAAGGTAGATATTTAAATTAATAATGTATAATTTTTATACGATATATAAATAAATAAACTTTTAGGATAGACATAGTTAATAAAATAGATAATTAATCAAATAAAATTTGAATTTTAATACGTACACGTAATTACTTCAAAACAAGCTGCACGCGCCGCTGTTTGCACTCCGGTCGGCTGTGGCGATTAGTCGGGCACTGGACTCTGGTGCGAAACAAATGTTTTTGTCGTATACACTGTAATCTGTATAGTGTTAATTGTTAAGCCGGTCTTTGATTTGCAGTGCGTTAGCTTAATTAAAACGCACTCGTCGGCGTAAATACTGTGAGTTGTCGCCGGCGAACCCAAAATCTTCCAATTTCGAATAAAATTACTGTGATGATAATCATGGGAAGCGTTGAACAAATAAAGGGTTGGTATAAAACTTCAAGAAACTCAATACTTTACTCATTACATGATATTAAAAATTCTGGTCCAGGGAATCATGATGAATGCATATGCATGCATGGCCCCATTTACCACCTACTAACTTTTTTTTTTAATAACTACCGATATTCGGTCTATCTATCGATTAATTCGGATTTAGTATTACTGAGGCAAAGACGACCTTTCAAACACATATTACTATATTCATAATCTTCAAGATTATAATCTCTTATCTTACTTAAAAGATTTACTATTTCACTTCACTAAACCAACTTATTATTGATTGGTCTATCTACTAATTAAACATTAAAATCAAATCTATATATTAAAATATAGACATAATGATAAAGTTAGCATTTAACAATATCTACGCACTTTGATATTTATTATTTTCATAATATTTTAATTAAGTGTTTTATTTTAGTTAAAATAATCATTTTTGAATGAAAAAATAATGAGTTAACATATATTGTTATTGTTATATTTTTATATGTTTTTTTATTGTTGTTGTGATAAATATTACATTGTCACTTTAGGTGATGTGATACATATTATGTCATTATTTTAGATTTCGTAACATATGACATATTATCATTTTTGGTTAAGTGATACATGTCATCACTTTAGGTGAAGTATCACATACTTTGTCATTATTTTGGTGGTCTAAAATACATGACATATCATTGCTTTAGGTGACATAATACATGTCATATAATTAATTTATCATATGTTAAAATATCGTATTAATAACATGTATTAATTATTAGTCAATTAATAAACTTCATCTAAACCAACAACCAGTTGGTCTAGTGAGATTAGGTACTAGGTCCATTAAGTAAGGTTAGGGTTCGAACCCTGGTGTTTGCGAATGGAGAAAAATGGGTTGGGATGGTCGCCATTGCCTCCGCAGTACCCGATCTGGATTAGTTTGTAAATAAATCGGATATCAGTGATTAATTCAAAAAAAAATCATCTAACAAAAATTATTTTAATTAAAAGTTAAAATATTGACTATATCTTATGTTTTTAATTATTTTAACTAAAATTATTTTTAAATTAAATAAAAATGAAAATAATCATATCTTATGTATTTTGAAATGAGTGATTAAAAGTGGATAAAAATAAATGATTATTCGTGTAGTTAACTCTTAATTTTGTTATCATGTACAAAATATTACTTAAATTAATTGAAATACAATGAGATGAGAGAGGGTAGGAGATGAACATGAGGGCACGTGGTGGGTGTGGTGCGAGACAGGTGTTTTGAGTTCATTTCCATTACGAGGGGCAGCAGCAACGCTCCACGTGGGCTCGGGGTGCGGCCCTCCACCGTCGAATCGGGGAATTGCCCGGGAGGAGCAAATTACCCAATTTGAAGAAAAAAGGGATCACGTGGGAGAGTGTTGGACAAAAAGGCGGGGGAACAAATCTCGAGCCACGATGACTGGCAGCGTACGAAGTTTTGAGTTACCAAACATGTTGCTTTTGGGATCCACAAAATGTATGCGTTTGGTTCACGGAATGTAAGATTATCAGTGGGAATAAAAGATTATCAGGGAATAGGATTACTGTGAATGTTGTATTTTGTGTTTGGTTGGTTTAGCAGGAATGTAAGATTACCGTGTTTGGTTAAAGAAATAAAATATTATTAGAATGTATATTTGACCAAATTATCCTTATTATATATTTATTTTTTAACAAGTTGTAAAATATTTATATATATATTTTTATAAAATTTATATATTTTTTTAAAATTTAAATTCATAAAATTTATATATATTTTTTACAAAATTGAAAATATAAAAAGGTTTAATGAAAGGGTAAAATTTTATTTTAACCTCTGAACTTCATATAAAATTTTAATTATAGGTTTTTTTTGTAAATCTAAAATAGTTTAAGGATAAATTTGTAATTTAATATTCGTAAAAAATTTATTCAATGATAGAATAAATTTATTATTCAATGATAGAATAAGGATAAAAAAAAAAAGTTTTAAGGAAATTTTAGTCCAAAATTTCGGTAATCCAACAATACCTAAGGAAAGGGAGGTAATGACATTGCCGGTAATATACCCCAAAAAATCCACTATTAGTAATGTAAGATTACCAGAATAACATTCACGACCAACCAACGAGGAATGTGGATTCCATTCCCAAAGAATCTCACATTCCCCAAACCAAACACACCCTTAATATTCCTCGCTCCCATCATCCAATACCTTGCTGTTTCGGATCTTCTGTTGCACCTAATATTAATTCCATATTTAACCCACCTTATTCTCATTCACTAATTCAATGCCCTCTATATCAAAAAAGAAAGAAAATCAATACCCTCCTTTTTCTAGTCATTATTAACAATGTATTTTATAAATGTAAGATATTTGAATTCAGAATTTTTAAAAAATAAAAATATTATTTATTTTAATCGCTGAGTAGGTTCGTTTTTTAAGTTTTAGTGGTAGACGAACATATAAATTAAGCCTCTAAATAACAACTCATTATATTTGGATCCTCTCAATCTTGCTTTGAAAGGATCTTGTACGCGCTCTTAAACGAAAATTTTCGCTTCGGATCCACGTTCCAATAACCGCAATCATTTTAATCTTTATGTTAACAAGGAGTTTGTTTTCAAAATAATGTAAAAAGAAATCCCGAGAAGAAAATTTATTTCTTTTATTAAATATAAAATTAGTTTTTTCAAGTCATTTTTATAAAATAAATATAAAAAGTAAAAATATATTATCTATTTATTACAAAAAATAAACTTTTACCCTCAGACAATATTTCAAAAATATATATAATTAATGCATGAACCAATTTACCTCAGTGATTAAAAGAATCATTATTACATTTAATTTTAAATAATTAAGAATTTAAAAAAAAATTACTATTTTATAATCGCATTAGCTTAAGTAATTAATAACCTTGTTTCTCTTCTTCTTTTTTTCAACTGAAGATGGGGGTAAAGTTAAAAGCCTTGAACCTAAAAGGAGACACCAGCCAACCCCATTAGAGGGGCGGTGCGAGTCTATGATTTGACAATTTATGGTACATAAATTTATTTTCGTAATATCTGTATCCAACATTGTTTACTTAGCATGAATTATGTAATTTCAAGTACAGTATGTATGAGATTGTTTGGATGTTTATTATCTGAGAATTTATTTATTTTTATATATTATATCGTAAAATTGTATCACTTCAAATTAAATTTGTATATAAGTATTGCAACTCAGCCAGCCAAGTTGGCATCAGAGGAAAGAGCAGTCTAGTGGACAGAAACTCAAGCGTGACTTAGCAGCAGTATCAACCAATTGTCCTAAATGAGGGGGGTCCATTGTGATGCTATCGAATGCGGAAAGGTTTTCCACTTTTGGACAATTTAACCCATAACAAAAGCACATGGTCATGGTCAGTTTCTTTCAAATAAATCAATATATTATAATTACAACCATTGGTTTCATCTTTTTGAATGAGTGGGGCCGTGGGGGACAATGGTCGGTCTACCTTTCCACACCAGCACCCCTGCTTTTTTCAGAATTATTGGCCGGCATTAAATTACCAACCATCTAACTCAGCTAAATATAAAATCATTATTATAGACAGTATAGATTACGGGATATTTGAATATTTATTATCATATAATTAATAATTTTTAAAATATATATATAATCACTTATAAACACCCTAAATTAATTAAAAATATAAAATGGGTCTACTCTGATTAACGAGTAGTGATAAATAAATAAGTAACATATTATTAACTTTTAAATTATATATAATATGTATAATTGAGTTTTTAATTTTTAATCTTTTTAATTATGACACTAAATTTTAGTTATGATTTTAATTATGTCATTAGACTGATAAATTTTAACTATACAATGATTTTGATAAATCTTTCGATCATTGTGAAGCCACTGACAAATGATGTTTTAGTGATGATTATTAATAACTAAAATGATGTAGTTTTAGACACTGAACTTTGAAGGTGTTTCAATTTTGTCACTAAATATTAAACAGTTTCATGTTTTGGCACAACACTTTTTCGGACCTTGTTGACAGCTAATCTTCGCTTGTCACTGATCGTCTTTTTAGGCAAGATTGATTTTTCCATTTGACTCCCCTTTCTTCTCAAAAAAATTAGTTTTCCATGAAATCCACTCAAAATTGACAAAAACCCATCTAAAAATCTGACATGCTATATCGTTTTGGGCATCAATAGTTGTTGCCAAAATGATATTGTTTTGCCCACGTTAACTCACCGTTTGAATTTTAACGATCTAATGCTATAATTGAAGTTAAACTCAAAGTTTAATAATATAATTTAAAAAATTAAAAGTCTAATAGTATAAACAATACAACGTCTAAAGTTGAATGGTATCCGGTGTAGTTTACCAAATAAAAATATTACTCAAAATTACCTTGCTGGGATTATGGGTATACTAGATATTTACGTTGCCAGATTTAACATAGGGTAAATGAATAGTGAAGCACTAAGAACGTGAAAGGATGATATGAGGTCACCTCCAAGGCCGACATCACAAAGCACACTTTCACAATACCAACGAGAAAAGACCTCTATTATTTAACCTTTCCAATCAAAAGTTCATCAACAAATGTTTTAGATTAAATATTGGTTTAGCCCCATCTCTAAGAGAGATGGCCAAACATGCTAATTTTCAACTTGTAATCAGAGAGATGAGGTGTCAAATCCCAAGATTCTTCAATGGCACCCTCTACCCTTCTCCCTCATCTCATCAACTTGTTCGCCCTAATACACATCTATATAAGCCACTCTCTCTTGATCATCTATGCATTAACACAAACCATTCTCTTCTCTATTTGCCTTTAACCATCTTCCTGTTTCTTCACAGTCTATTTGTGGTTCAGTTTCTGATTAAATTTCCTTGGGAATTCTATGGCTACTGCAGAGGTATTGGATTCCTCTATATTGATTACTTGTTAAATATACCATTAACTTGTCATATAAGATGTTGGTTTATATGTTGATATTTGATTGTGTAGGTTGCATCCGTTCAAACTGCACTCCATGAGGAGAAAACTGAAGAACCGATCAAGGTTGAAGAAACTACAACAGCTGAGGTAGTCAATGTAGCTTCTGTTGCTGAAGAAGAACCAAAGGAGACAGCATCTGAAGAACCTGAAGCCGATGCCCCGGCTGAAGTTGAACCCAAACAGGTGGTTGAAGAGGAGGAGTCCAAGGCTGTGACCGAGGAGCCAGAAGTTGAGAAAAAAGAAGAAGAAGCTCCTCAGGAAACAGTACCCGAGCCAGTTGCCGAGGAGACTACTGAGCCAGCCGTTGAAGAAACCAAAGAAACTACAGGCTCTACCGAAGCCGCCCCGGTGGAAGAACCCAAAGAGGAAGTTGCCAAGGAAGAAGAAAAACCAGCTGTAACTGAAGCTGAGAAGACTGAGTAATAAGGTTACCGTTAGCTACAAGTTGCACGTGGAGTCGATTAGTTTCTGTATAGCTGAATAAGCATGTAGTAGTATTATGGAGGAAGAGGCTTGGGACCATGGAAATGACCCGCCAATCATAGCTTGCCAATTGGCTAAACCACATGAGTAGGCATTTGGGGGGCATTTTTTATGGTTTCCAAGCATGTTGTTAATTTTAATTTAAGTGTGTTTTGCTTTTGCATGTTTTCATTGAAGGCGCAGTTTGCATGTTGCCTTTGATGATAATAATGTAATAAATCGTAGTCCGTTTGTTCTACATTTGTCCCCTGTCGAATCGATTGCTACCTGAATTCTGAGTTTAAGTTCTGTTCGAAGAATCACAAAATCAACTGATCTCGTACAAACGTGCGTGACAGTGATCTGTTGCCGACTTGATTTAAATTCATGTAAATATTAAAAAGGGGTAAATTACATATTTAGTCACACAACTATTACTTTAGTTCTATTTTTCATCCAACTATTTTTTTCCCAAAACCCTCTAATTTTATGTTTTGATAACTCATTGACCGTCCTTAAAATAAATAACATAACTGCTGTTGTGGGATGTTTTATTTTTTCCAATCATAACATTACATTATTTTATGATAGAATGTTAACATCATCGTCAAATTTTTTCTACAAAATAAGTTTAATATTTTTCTATGAAAATGTCATTGATAGCATGTGTCACCATATGATTAGGGGATAAATTTATTGAATTAATGTAAAATTATGACTAAACTGATAGACAGTGTAAGTAATGAAGACTAATTGTATAATTCTACCAATTATGTTAACATCCACGTGACTTCTTCTGTTGAATGTTAATGACACATGATTTGATTGACAATAATTAAATAATTAGGTGGTATGATTGAAAGATCGACAGTCAAAATGAAAAGAACAATAATTAAGTGGTAAGGAGGTATTCTTTACACAAGAACTCATATAATACTAATAAATTGATTTCATTGCTTCTTCATTCAATCATTTCAATCCTAAACCAAATTAGTTTTACTTTTATCAATTTGGTCCACACCTTGTTTCTTCATCCACTCACCTTCCTCATGTTAAGATCAGAACCCATTTTGATTTAAAAAATGTGGGTCACATTAATGTAGTAAGTTTTTCTTTCGAAATTCGGCTCATTTCGGTGGGGTTTTCTGGGCCTCTATCTATGTCCTGTATTTCTCTTTGTTTGATTTCTTCAACAAAGCTTTTTCACGAATTAATAATCAATTCTGACTCCATCATTTGGAACCGATTGAAAGGGCTGCCAAGCTATTCCCTCAGGCTGCCATCGTGAATAAGCCCATAGATATGATTTACATTAAATAGAGTTGGGTACAAGTATGGTATATATTTTAGATATATTTTTTTACTAATAATATGTTTTACCCATCTAAAGTTATATATAAATTCGTCTTTTTTAAAATTTAAATGTTCATCCTTAACATAAATTATGTGTCTGTAGCTGGTTGCATATATAATTGTCTACGGCCGGATTGAATCCAAAAGCATATCAAGATTCATGTCCTTTAAAAGACACTGTTTGCCATTGTTGAGCCTGCTTTGGAAACCATGGACTTCGAGTTGCATTCTGGAACTCATCCTAGCCTTGGAGTCGTTGATCATATATGTTTTCACCTCTTGGCATATATTTCGTCGGATCAGGCAGCTCTGGTTACAAAATCTATGACAGTAGGGACGGATGTAAGAATTTAAGTCGAGAGATGTAAGCTTAATAAATTATATTAAAAATTTTAAAAGATGCGAAGTTATAAATTTTAGTACCGACCGACTGCCCCTTTGGTCATCCTTGTACCCAGCTCTATTGTAAGTCTCATCTATGAGCTTATTCACAATAGCAGCCTCAGGGAATAGCTTATTAACCAGCTCAGGCTATTTTATTCTATACTTGCAAATACCCAACTTTTTTTCCCAATAAATTCATGTTGGTGAAACTGTCTCAACTTCTTTCATTTATAAAAAATACAAATAAAAGATATAATTATAATAAAATATATTTATATAACTAACTATTAATATTTTAATATATAAATCATAAATTTTGTTTATTTTATATGAATAAAATAAATTATTAAAAATAATAAATTATTTTTTAAAGGATTAAAATGAAATGAAAATACATATTTGAGTGGAGCCCATGCATTAGTATGGGCAAAATTATAATTTGATTTCAAACGCAAAGTCGAAAATAAAAAAGTTAGAAACCCTAGCTTTTGCGGTTGGTTTGAAACCACCGATTTCACCATAATTTATTTTCCATTTTTTTTATCCGTTTAACATTAATTTTACGGTAACTAAAAGTATTTTTAGATATAAATATATATTCCATAATTATTTACTCATGGATGATTCTTGACGGTTACTAATGATAAAATAAAACCCTTGAACGATGTCATCAGCTACTCGGGGACTCTTCTTCATGTTCCTCAGATTCCGTCGCAAAGCCACGATTATACGCCACATTTTCTTTTCCTTCTTCTCTTCTGGGGATTGGTAATACGAGAGGTTCGGTTAATTTAAGGAAATAATGGAAGACCAGCTTTTTGGAAATGAGATATTGATAATGGCTAAGTTAGTGGTGGTGTTTATCACTTATTTTTCTATAAGCGTGGCCTGCGGGGTCTGGTTCAAGGCCGACATGGCTGCCTGCATTGTATGTACAGCTTTCCATTCAGAAATTCTTCTTCTTTTTTATAATAATAAATTATTATTTTTCGAATTGATGACCAAGACAATGAAATTATTCTTCCTTTACAGTTCGATGGAGAGCATACGAATTCCTCGAATAGAAAAGAGAGATGCCAAATGCATGCTTAGAGACAAAGTTCAGTCCCAGAAGATCTTTTATTCGATTGGTGTTGAGTTTGAGTTGATGTCCCAATTATTGCCTAACTCCATCGTATCATCAAGAATCATAACAACCATTAGAAGTTTGGATCCAATCCCCTAGTATTTTCCCTTAGATATTTTCATTTTTTTTATAAGCAAACAACAAGTAAATACATTAGGTACAAGGGTATGTCTCCTCTTATATTAGGTACAATTTTTATACGTAAAAAGAAAAAAAAACTTTTATTTATGATTACCCAATTTTGGAGTTTAAGAAGTATGAGAATTAATTTCATGTATTTATATCCCTTGATGGAGACCCATCATCCTCGGTTCCACTCAGTGTTATTTCTCTTTATTTTCATTTTATCAGCAACTTGCATATGCAAGTATGTATGGTTGAATTATAATATGCATGGCTGTAGCAGGAAAGAAACAAAAAAAAAATGGTAATAAAAGCCAAAACCAATCCTAAAATAATAAAACGATGCATGAATATGGTTATGATAACAAAATGGTCTATTGAATTGTGCTTGTCATGTGGATGATGAAATAGCAATCAGTATTTGTCACACTTGTACAACATATATTTATAAAATATTTTTTTTATAAATATTAAAATTTGAATTTAAGTAATTAAAAATAAATATAAAAAATACTACATGAGGTAACTTGATATATGACTAGGTTAGACGCCATTTAATCATAAATACAAGCTTGTTGTCCTTTTCATAATTATTTTTAAATACTAATATTCAAGTTATTGGTATGTGTTCAAAAATTGTGTTTTGAAATTTTAATATCTATGTGGGAAAACTCCACCTCCTGAGGGCTTCCCATAAACATGAGAAAGAAAGCCAATGTAAATCCTTTTCCATTTTTCATCAGGCCTCCAAAATGTCGAGGACGATGACTGCATAACCTAAGGAATGTCGGTAAATATTCATAAAGAATCTGAATTTCTGATCCTTTTTTGGACTCGGAAGCAAAGCGAAGATCGGTCGGATAATATTTCTATCGAGTAAATGCAAGAAACATTTGCTAAAGAAGCAATGATTTAGACAAGTGTGAATGTAGAAAGAATCAGAACATGTAGTAACTTATTCAGAGGGGCCCTAGATGGGCATCCCTTTCAATGTTTCACACTAGTAAAATCAACAAGAACCTCAGGTACAATCTGACTGAAACACAAACTCAAATAAACCAAGAAAAGAAAATTCTAATTGACTACAGCATCTCATAGCAAATTACGGGTTTCACATCTACAAAGGAGTAGAAACCAATAACAAGTCAGGAAAATAGAGTGATGTGGTTAGTCCTCTGTTAATATCGAGAGAAAATCGTTCGATGTTCATTATCCATGTCATTTCGGTAAATACAATGCAAAACTACACCAGTGCAAGGCCCAAATTCATCTCATTTTTGTTTTCCATTTACCTTCAGACATCCTTCTGATCTAAGCACTTCATCAACTTTAGGCTTAGAAACCCAATAACACCATGATCAAGAGGAAAAATTGTTAAGTAGGCATTAGACCACCAAATCTAGTTAACGTGAAAGGACAAATAAAGTTGAGGAAAAAACAAGAGAGCGCAAAAACAAGTCGAAATCGAAAGACTAAAAGCTAAAGTATAGAAGGCTGGGCAGAAGAAATATGTCCTTATAAGACACACCAAATTCTCTAGGTAAAAAAGAATCCGACTCTGTATACACCACAAGAAGAAAATAAGAAAATACCACTTGGGTGACGTAGTACAGAGGATGGGAAAGTTTAGAAGAGCAAAGTAATTTTTCAAGACAATCATGTTCAACATAACATTAAAGATAAGATTTGGTGCCATGAAAAATGCCTGACAAAAACTTACAACTCTTGCAATCAGTTTTCGAGGAATCTTAAGTATGTGTATCGGTCTGCATAGACTGATTAGAATGTTACATTTTTCTTTCATGATGGTTATGCAAGACCTGAACAAGTGTTGAACTAAAATTCATAGCATGCTCACTACCGAATGCTCGTCTAAAAACATAAATTGGCATATGCACTATAGCAGTGTGCCATCTAAGAGGTTTAGGTGTTGTATTTGAATCAGTCAAGCTTGCATGGCCATATGGAACTTCCACTTGGAACATACCAAAACTTAAGATGCTCAAGAAGAAGTCAAACTGATATGTCTAGTGAAGAGGTTAGAAAATCAAAACTATGCTTTAAACTTTAATAAGACTGAAGACAAATCAAGGAATGAATGCTTGATCACTTCACGTAATACTAGGCCTAGAAAATAACCTATTCAACTTGTATGAGGACAAACACATTAAAAACAGAAGAGCCAAACAATAAGATAGATGAAAAATGTTTTAGTTTGTTTGTGCTATTGTTGCTTTATGACATGTATCTTTGTTAAAGTCAATAATAATTTTCATAGAACACATTAATATCGTACCTTAAATTTTTGTAGCATTAATGACTCAACAGAAGACTTCATTATCTACTTTTCTCTTGTTCCATTTTATGAGAAATTATACAACCAATTACAGAAATGTTACAGAAACTGTCAAATGTAAATAAAGTACGCATTTCATAAATCACATGTAGTTAATAAAAGAATCACGTGACATTATATCGAAAAGTTGCCAATTAATCTTGACAGACATAATTCTTCTCAAACTAGCAGGCATGTCCTGCAGCTATTAGGAAATGAAGGATCATATCACTAAGAGGAATGTGTAGCAAAATTTAAGACCTGGCCCACAAAATAGCCGGCAGCGTCATATGAAAGTTGAAGGTTTTTCCTTCGTTACACTTCTACAACACTAAAAAATGATTGTGCTACTAAACTCCTATGAACATCAATATGAACTCATAAAAACATTTAACAGAATTTTCTCAAGCAGAAAATCATTTACATTGAGATTTTAGGTTCTAAGTAAGAAGTCTTACCTCTATTTGATTGTCTCTTATTAACGTGTAACCACCAACATAACCAGGAGAACTTTTACCCGAAACATCAGAAGTGGCACTACCAAGTACATAACCAAAGGAACCAGAACCATCTTGCTCAGATGTTGATTATCGCCCAGTGGTATCCCCATAAACTGAAGCACCACCATAAAAATCTGCAAAGGCTCCATCATAACCACCATTTGACGCTGGATATGATGATGTTGGAGCCACATTGGTCATACTGTTTCTCCCATACCCTGCTGTCCCCAACCCAAAGCTGTTATCACCACTTCCATAGGCAAAATTCACACTATTGCTAGAAACATTATTCCCTCCAACCTGATTGGAAATTGCAGAAGAACCCCAATTAATTCCACTAATTCCGAAGGAATTTCCTCCCATACCACCACTTCCAGATCCCATATATGCACCAGAACTAGGAGCATTTGTGTTATAATTGAGCCCCCCATTTCCCCAAAGATTTCGGGTCACTGAGCTGAAAAAGGAAGTATTACCTCCAGTAGTCCCATCAAACCCAATAGGACTACCAAACCTATTTGCATTACCGACATAATAAGGGCTAAATCCCCGTCCATAGTTCATATTACCACTAAAATTTGCACTATTTGCAAAACTTGGGTTCAAGCCTGGCTCAAAGTTCATGCCCATTCCATAACCAGAACCAAAGGGAGGCAACCCACTTCGACCGCCTTCCACTGGACTAAATCTACCATCCATCCTAAGTCCATAGCCACCAACATTGCTTGGAGTATATCCCTGAGTGTAGCCATTAAGGAAGTTGTTAACCCTATTCAAACCATTGTTATATCCACCAAGAGGGCTATGATGTGGGCTAGGAGATAACTCTTTGGGAACAGCTCGTTTAACCTCAACCATTTTACCATTCAGTTCATGGAAATTTTTTAGCAAGACCTTGACCACTGCCTCTTCTGAATCATAAGTGATAAATCCGAAACCTCTAGGCCTTTGGGTGTTGTGATCATACATCACTACAACATCTGTGATATTCCCAAACTGATCAAAGTACTTCTTAAAGTCGCTCTCTGTGACTGTAGATGCTAAACCACCTACAAAAATCTTTCTTGTGCGTCCTGGACCAGGTGAACCGTGGATGCTACTAGTGCTTCTACTGATAATGTTCTGATCATCCCTAGGAACTGCCTTTTTTGCCTCCACCTGCGCACACGTAAGTCAATGATGAAAATAGATCTTAAATATCACAAACTGTTTCTGCACAATAAAGTAATTATACTAAATTAAGAGAATGAAAAACATAACCAATACCAATTGCAAAGAAAAATATTAAAAAAGAAAAGAGGAAGCACAATTACTCTTGGCACAATTTTGAAATTTAGTTGGACTCAGAACTGGAATTTTACGAATTCCTGCAATTACAATATTGGGTTCATAACTCCGAAAAGCAATTGAATCTACATTTCTTGCTTCAGTAAGCTACTAGCATCAATGAATAGTACATTGCTCAACATTAATCTATAAAGTAGGGCTTAAAGATCAGCCACTTACCATCCTGCCATCTATATTGTGTTTCTCCAAGATGACTCTCTCGGCAACAGCTGGGTCAGAGAAAACAATGAAACCAAAACCACGTGCATGTCCTGTGGTCCGATCCTTCATGATCACTGCCTCTACCACTTCGCCGAAACTACTGAAATACTCCTTGAGACGCTCTTCATTGGTGTCCCAAGATATACCACCAATAAATAGCTTACCATTCCCAGACATCCTTTTCTACAATACAGAAAAACTCGTTCTGTCATCACAAAGTCCAAAGTATCCGCTAATGGAAATCAAATGCCAACTCTTAACATAAAAAGCCAAATTCATAATTGGATGCAAGCCATAAAAAATTCCATTGCAACAACAACGACCAATCAAAAACCAATAGAATAGAAACAAAATTGCGTTTTTTTTTAAATAAAGCAATCCAAATCAGGATAATGCAGATACAATTCGATACCTTTTATTTTAACATTAACAACGAAAGCGTAATTTGAATACAGAATGAAAATTTTCTCTCTGGTTCAAAATGTAGAAATAAACAGATCCTTCCACGATCAATCAACCGACCAATCCAGAATTTAACTTCACCTGGAATCCAGAAATGAGAAGGAAAACAAGCAAAACAAAATAAAATAGGCAGATTGATGATCAATCGGAAGCTCGATATTATAGCTGTAAATATATATCGGAAACTCAAGCGGAAGATCAGAAATCCAAATACAGACTCGTCAAAAACGACTACAAACCCACCAATCAAATGAAACCCAAGTACCAAATCTTGCGGATATCTAAGATCCAAGGGGATGCACAATTAGAATAAGAATACGAGAGGTCAATCGCATCCTCTTTCTTCCCTTCTATTTCCCTCTCCACTTTAAACAATAAAGATATTTTTTCCCGACAACGCTCTTCTTTCTTACAAGAAAATCTAAAAATCTTTTTTTTAATTTGCAACACAATATTAAAATTTAGTATTTATATAAAATTATATTCAATAAATGCAACAAATAAAAAAAGGAAAAAAGAAGAAGCTTTACAATGATTCTTGTGACGATGATATATATAGAGGAAGTATCTGAACGCAGCTTGATTTTCTTTTCCTTTTTTTATATTTTTACAAATTTTGTACAAGTTTCATTTTTTACTGAAAAAAGTAAAAATTAAAATGTTTTTTCAGTGGAAAGCAAAAAAAAAGAGTTATTTGATCTAGTAAATTTGGTAGGATGAGATTTGCTTTTATACTTTGGTGATAATTTACCCCACGCCGCGTCTTCATACGCCTTGATGCTGCATTAATGTTCCAATACCACCGAGGAATGAGTTATCGTGTGGGGCTAATTGAATCCAACGCTCTGGTTTTCACTATATGTTTTTCTATTACGATTTATGATTCAGTAGAGACCGTTGATCTTCTTGGTTGACTCTAATTTTGGTGTCTGAATCGGTCCTTAGTATGACTGTTTTATTATAAATCAGCACCTAATATATTTAAGTATTTTAAGTTTGATGTATGATTTGGTCTTATATTATACTAGTATTCTCCTTTTAATTATTTTATTTTTAACCTTATATATTAGGTGACATTAGGGATAAGGATGGGGTCGAGTTGGGTTGGATTTTTTGGTCCACCCGACCTGACTTAAGAATAAGGAATTTTTCACTCGAGATTTAACCCGATCAAAATAATATTTCACCCGACTCGATATATAACTTAAAAATTCGACTCGACCCGAAATAATAAAAATATTATTTTTATTCAATAAACGTTACTTAATTGAAAAAAAATAAATATATAGATGCATATTGTTGTAATTATTTCTAAATATATAAGGTAAAGTTATAAATTTTTTGGGTCGGGTTGAGTATTTTTCACCCTAAAACTGAACCTGATCCGACCCGAATCTCGTCGGGTTCAGGTCTCATGCCCATCCCTACGTGACATCGTATTAGTGCATGCAATTAAAATTTCATAAACTTAATGTATTATAATACATTTATTTATTTTTGAATAATTTGATTTGATTACGATATAATATTTATTTAAATTTTTTTAGTTTACTCACAATATATACGTACTCTATATATACATCTACTTGATTCTGAATATTTAAAAAAATAATATTTTCTTTTGCCATTTAATTTACGTTATAGTTTTATAATGTATTTACCTTCCTACTTTCAATCGGGAAATGGGTGCAACGTATTCAATTTTTTGTTTTAGACTAGATTTCAATATGAAGGTTAGTCCCTCCCCACTTTGGATTTTACACCGTATGTATGGTATCAGCCGAGTAAATTTTAGCGATTTAAATTGTACGGAATTATCGATTTATCTTAAGGGGGCGTTTGGTTCAGGTAATCTTGGATTACATTCTATTCTCCCGTTTGGATTGTAAACTTTCTTAATCCCGGTAATTATTTATTTTCAACAGTAGTATTTTGGGGGCTTATTTATCGGGAATGTGATTCCCTCATATATTATTACATTCTCGACGTTTTGGACTAAAATGCCCTTAATTTTGTTTCCAAAAATATCATTCTTCTGTCGTTGAGTAAAAAAATTCTACAAATGTTAAATTGCAAATTTATCATTAAACTATTTTAGATTTACAAAAAAAAAATCATAATTAGAATTTTATATGAAGTTTAAGGGTTAAAATAAAATTTTACCCTTTCATTAAACCTATTTATCTTTTCAATTTTATAAAAAAAAAATTATATAAATTTTATGAATATGAAATTTTAAAAAATATATATATATAAAAATTAATTATAGTAGAATTTAACTTATTAAACAAATAAATATATAATAAGGACAATTTGATAAAATAAACATTCAAATAATATTTTATTCTTTTAACCAAACACTGTAATCTTACATTCCTGCTAAACCAACCAAACATAAAAATGCAACATTCACAGTAATCTTATTCCAGCCGGTAATCATATTCTCGCCGGTAATCTTACATTCCGTGAATCAAATTCACCCTAAGAATCAACTGTGTTATGTTCTCGATCAAAGGTCATATTGATACATCACTACGTGTATCACATAGGAGTTTATAAAATTTGGATGACATTAGTAATAGTTCAGAAAGTATTTTTAAACACGGATATAAATATATATTGGTGATATAAATTTTTTCGTATGAGATAAACATAAATAAAGTTTTAAAACGAACACGATTAATAAAATAATTAATTATCTAAAGAAAATTTAAATAACATAATAGACAAGTATTCATCCTCACTAAAAAGGGAATCCATCGTCGATGATATTGATATTTTTGGATTGTCGAGTTTAGGGAAATGGGTCATTTAGATTAGAGGAACCACCCCGATACGATTATTTCCAGCATTCTTGGTGAGATTTATCGTATCTCGTAAGAGTATAGGAAAATGTGTATATAACATCAATAATGATGTATCCACCTTCTTGGCAATTCTCCTTCCCTCCAAAAATCCAAATCACCCTCCAAAAAAAATACAGAATTTGATCCCTGTTTTTCTCCAAGTTTAGCGAATACGATGGCCTCTTTTAAGCCTTCCATTGCTCTAAACGGGAAAGATCTTTCGGGATCCTTCCACCAACAACGTGCTTCCGGCGAGATTCACGTCTTCATTGGCCCCATGTTTGCCGGCAAGACCACTTCTCTCCTCCGTCGGATCAAATCCGAAAGCAACAGTGGCCGGTACTTTCTTACTTCAACGCTGTTGGGTTTCTATAGCCTTGGCTCATCGTTTACTTTTCTAGTAATTTTAATTTCTTTTTTGGAGTGAATTTGTAGAAACGTGGCAATGATAAAGTCAAGCAAGGATACCAGGTACGCTAATAACTCAGTGGTATCTCACGACGGCGTGAAATTCCAATGTTGGGCTTTGCCGGATCTCAAGTCTTTCCGGCACGAAATAGGAGAAGAAGCTTATGAAAAGGTGAATTCCCGAGCGCTGCTTTCTTCCCAATAAAAAAAAAAGACACCATTTGTTTGTTTAAAATTTTATTTTAAAAAAATTCTGGGTTTGTTTTTATTTTCTGGCAGCTTGATGTGATCGGAATAGACGAGGCACAGTTTTTCGAAGATCTCTATGACTTCTGCTGCAAAGCCGCCGACATTGATGGGAGAACAGTAATTTTAGCCGGCTTAGATGGGGATTATTTAAGGTGATGATCCTGCATTCCCAGAGTTTCTGTGTAATCCACGAAACTTTTTGAATCTAATTCAGATTTGATCAACAGAAAGAGCTTTGGGTCCGTGCTGGACATAATTCCGCTGGCGGACACCGTAACAAAGTTAACGGCGAGATGCGAAAAGTGCGGGGAAAAGGCGTTTTTCACATTCAGGAAAACGGCGGCGATCGAAACGGAGTTGATCGGAGGGGAGGATGTTTACATGCCTCTGTCGACAACATTATATCAATGGGATAACAGTCGCTGAGGCCTCGAAGACTGTTGTTGAATCAACCAAAGTTCATCATCAAACCACTCAATCATCTTGCCTTGAAGCACCCACTTTGGCACTTTAATCGCAGTTATGGATCATTTATTGTTTTAAATCATGATTCGTGTGGAATTAATGGGTCGTTCGTGGATCTTGTTTTTTTCTTCTTCTATAAATTTCGAATTTCGCTTGCTTATTCCCGCCATAGCTATCGTGCTTGGCACTTCTTTGGCTTGTAAGTATCGATGACCAACAAAGTCTAGTTCTCTTCTTTTATTTCCATTTAGTAGTTTCTTGAATTATTTTTTAAATAAAAATTAGCGGCAAAGTCCATTTAAGAAAATCATGTTGATCACTTTTGTTTTAATTTTACAAACGTATGTTTAAAAAATATAATATATGATTATTTTACAAAGTAGCGTATATTTTAAATAATTTTCAACAATTTGATAATAAACATTTAATCATCAAGTTGTAATCGTTAATGTTTAAAATAATAACATGTAAGAAAAACAACAATTATTAACCACTAGGGTAAATTAATTCGTGTTAATATATGATAATTTTTGTTTTGTTTTAATTAAGATGTAATCATAAGATGTGTGAATTAGATGATGTGATATGTTAGTAAAAATATTTAATTTTTATTTGAACCCTTAAATTTTTTATAAGTTACTAATCATGGTTCTTTTTTAAACCTAGTTTAGGGATAAAATATTAATTTACTCTTGTTTTCCTATGTTTTCTTCCCCAAACCTACCCTCTCCGCCGCACCGCTGCTTCATCTTAAACCCAGTTTAGGGATAAAATATTAATTTACTCTTGTTTTCCTATGTTTTCTCCCCCAAACCTACCCTCTCCGCCGCACCACTGCTTCATCTCATCCGGAATTGGTCCACTCAATGAATTTCGATATTGTATAAAAGTAATCACAATTATGTAAACATGTTTATAATCTTAGGGACAAAAAAAAAAGATTTTTGGTTACCCTGCTTTGAGATTTTACAGTTTAATAGAAATGAAATGCAAAAATGAGATTTTGCAGCATTTGCAAAAGGTGAACATGAATCTTTATAATCGGTTAAAAAGTATGACAACCAACATGAGTTCGATTAGAAGATAAAAGGCGATATTGTAAAAGGGAAGACGAATCAGAAACGCACAAAAATGCATTTGGTGTGATGAAATTGGACAAAATCTGCAATTCGATAACTTGAAACGAGAAAAATTGAACAAAATCTGCAAGTCCAACTTCATCAATCGAACCCCCCCCCAAAGTTGATCTTCTATACCAGTTCAAGCACTCCTCATCTGCAGAAAAACTTTGGATGGAACTTAGTTTAAAAACCAAGGGTTATGTTATGTTAGCTGCAATAGGAACAGTAGAGTGACGGAAAACCACTTGAAAATGACGTCATCCTCTCCGCGAGCTGTAGATTACAATATGACACAGACACATTTATTCTGCTGTGCTTGATTTGTTGCCTTCTTTTCTGCTTGATAAAGAAAGTTAATTCGAAACTGCATATGAAAAAGTTCAAATTATAATTTTTGGATCCCCACAGATAATAACTGTACCTTCTCTGAAGGATGTTGGACGACAACATGCATCGTCGTCAACCCGCCAGGAATATCATAAATAGGGCTCTGGCACTCTCCCCCAGTGTTCTGATGTTCTACAATATTTTTCCAACACTGTCATGTTAAAGTTGTTCCAAACATGTAATCACATTTGTTTAATTTTGTGCAGAGAAGGAGAACGGTCCAAGGACAATGAAAGATCTCAAGTTAATCAGTACAATATGTTAGTTTAAGTAATAAGAAAGGGAAGTATTCAGTGACACACTGACTCATCCGGCTGAGATGAAGCAGTGGTTTGAAGATGTAGCAGGGAAGCGGCGGAGAAGACAGGTTTGGGGAAGAAAACATAGGGAAAAAGGGTAAATTGATATTTTATCCGTCAATTATTTTGGATTTACAAAAAGACCCATGATTAATAATTTATCTGAAGTTTAAGGGTTCAAATTAAAAATAAACCTTTTTATTTACGTGTCACGTCATCCAAATCACGGAAGCTAATGTCTCAGTGGCCAAATCTTAATTAAAACTAAATGAAAATGACTGTATATATTTTTTAATTGAGTGACCATACATTTGTAAAATTGAAACAAAAGTTATAAACTCTATAGTTTACTCTTAGAAATATTGGAAGAGAGTACATGACTATTATACCCTGAATCGTGGGCTAATTTTTTTTTAGTTTAAACGGGTCAATTTTCAGACATATTTTAACTTTGAGGACACAATTGACTAAAACTTAAAATACGAGGGACCAAATTGGATAAAAATAGGACTTAATGGCTTAATTGTAAGATTTTGGAAATTTATGAACTAAAATGAACATAAAATGCAATTTGAAGCTAGTTTTGTAAACCCTAGAGAAACTAGAGGGGCACACCTTGGAATTGGGTCTATGAAAGCCGTACTTGTTATTAAACCTACAAAATATAAGAAATCATTGAAACTATTACACCAAACGACATTAGACAATTCATATGCAAGATCACTACAGCTATAAAGGTAGTTAATATTGGATTTTTTAACAGCGTGTAAATAGTACTTGGTTACCCACAACAACGAATCAACTGGCATTAAAGAAAGCAGTGCACTATTAGGCATTGTTCACCCTTTGGAAAAGTAGTTAAAACTAGCAGAAGGCATATGGCTTTCCTCGCTAGATTCTAGGCGGAAAGTTCACTCAATAGGCCATCAATTGGAAACTGAGTCAATCTCATCATCTTTGAGGTCAGAAAAGAAGGGGTCCTTGAGAAGATCAGAAGCAGAAGGCCTTGCCCTTGGTTGCGCTATGCATTTCTCGATAAATGCCTTCACTTCTGGATCTGGCACTGTGTTTAAGGCTCGGGGTCTCACGCCAGAGGTGACCTTCTTGTATATTTTGGCAACACTATCACATTCACTATAAGGTATCTCCATTGTCACCATCTCAAGCAAGCACATTCCGAAAGAGTATATGTCGACCATCTCAGTGTAATCTTCCTCGTACAGCTCCGGTGCCATATATTCCGGTGTCCCTATTATGGAATGTGCAGCATGGCTTCTCCCAACTATTGCTGCAAATCCCAGGTCCCCAATTTTCACCTGCAGATATAATTAAAACAATTCAAGTTTGCAGTTATTCTCCTTGCAAAATGTCTTCACAACTTCTGGATCTATACTGGAGACAGGAACTTCAAATTTTTTAAATTTCTTCCAGGAAAACAAATGTTATTATGTGAATATTAGTTGTTTGGTTGCTCTTATCCGAAGTATGTTGCTTAAAGTTACTATGGTTAACCACAGTAAATGAAGAAAAATCCTCGGTTTCCTAAAATGACCAGATGAAACAATATGGATCCAATGTTACATGCATTTAATCTGTCATTGCCTCTCACAACCAGAGCCTAAAATATAAAGCATAACAAAGTGACCGATGGATGACTCATCAAGCTGCTTAACACTCCCAAACTTTATCTAGAGCTCTCTCAGTCTATTCCTTCATTCAGCCTTATTCTCAGCCACGCTTAGTTTATTTAACCTGTTCTCCACTTGACTAACCACTACACTACACAGAGGGTCTAATTCTAGTCTTCCTATCCACCGTGTATGAGTACATTTCATTTCACTGGTTTGCAACACTTCCTTTCGCTATCAAAGAACCCACTACATTTATCTAACATCAGATTATTGGGCCAAAAGGCTGCATCAGCTACTAAATATATTCAAAAAATAAGAATAGCTTAGCCACCTAAGTAATCGTCTATAAAGTTACAAGGAAATAACGTAACAGCGCTGGTATTATGTCTCATGTTTTACACAGTAATAAAGAATAAACCCACATACTTGGCCAATGTTCCCGTTGATGAAGATGTTGCTGCAATTTAGATCTCTATGAATGATGCAAGGGTCATGTGTATGAAGATATTCCAACCCCTCGAGAACCTGCTTTGACCACTTCTTCAAGGCCTTAATGGACACACGGCGATGCTTCTTCCTGTAAGTTCTCAAGTTTCCCGACGTGCAGACCTCAGTGATAAAATTTAGCGTGTTATGCTCTCCGTCCCTCCAAACACTGTAGCAAACAATGATATACTTGTTTTTCAAAGTTCTCAGCAACTGTACCTCGGATTGAAGCCTGTTAATAAGCCCAGGGTCTTCGCTAAAGTTTGCCAATTTCACTTGATTCCAGGCCACCTCTATACCTTCCTCCTGATCAAATGCCCTGTAAACCTTCTTCACTGCACCAGCACCAAGCAAATCATTATAGCGGCCAAAACGTCCGGAGGGATCAACCTCAACAAATGATTCTCCTTCTCGGTCAGACATATTGGTACTAGCAGCCGGCATCTTCAAAGATTAGAAACAAGAGATAACATTTACAGATTATACTTGCAAAAATTAGTATCCAAACAAAGAATTTTGTAGGAACAGTCCAATCTTTGACAAAACATAACGAGAGAAAAAACCTGGATCAAATCGAAACAAAATCCAATATTAGTAGTAAAATAAAGATGAGAGTGCTAATCTGCAACAATAAATATAATTAGCTGGAACAATGGTTGATTGTCAGAGAAATGTTGAAGATTAAGACACTGCCCATAATAAAGTATCCAAGCGGTGATATTTGTACTTTGATTCAGAACTGAGATTGTCGAATCAAAACGTACGGATGAACAGAAAGAAAAGTAATCTTCTATCGAAATATTAGTAAAAGATAAACAATTAAATTGTCTTGGTCACAAAATCATTATGACTCAGAAAATGAAAAATAGAAAACGACTAGAGCTTGAACAAAAGAAATTCATAAACGAGCCATAGTATCAATATAGTACTTCAACTCGATATCAAGAATTTTGCAGCAATTAAAGATTTTATGCAAAATAACATCCTAATATAAACCTAAACAAGGCGTTATTAGAAGCATACGTGGTATGATGAATAAAAATTGAAATAATCGATTAAATACTAAAAATTAAAACAATAAAAAAAATGAGAATGCATAGTCAAATAGAGAAAGAAAGATTATCAATTCAAAAGAGAATCAAATCAAGCAATCAAAGTTGGAAACGGAATTCAAAAATTATATATATCTATAGAAAAAATAATGATGTCAAAAATATAAACAAGAAACGTAAGGAAGTAAACAAAATTCAAGAATTCAAAGGTTAGAATAGTTTCAATTCGTGGTTTAGGACATACATCCACAACTGATCCAGGTCATGGAAGCATCTTTAGTAATTTACAACTCGTTTCTTTTTCTCGATTGATTAAAAAAATTCGGCAGCCTAACTTGCAAAAACATACTGAACTTGAGATGCATGCCTAAAGTTTAAAAAAGAGAGAGGAAGTGAACCTAATATACATTCGATAACAGGTAAAGAAAAGTATACAAAGGGAAAAAAATAAGCAATTAAATTTTCTGCACTACAAAATCAATATGATTCGGGAAACGAAAAAGAAAATAATGACTAGAGCTTGAAGAGAAGAAATTAAGTAAATAGCATTACTACTTCAATTCAATATCCAGAACTTTGAAGCAATTAAAGATTTTATGCAGGATAACATCCTAATTTATACCTAAATTCATACGGCATCAACAGAAGCATGCATAGTACAATGAATAAAAAAGAGAAGAATTGAAGAAATGATCAAAAAGTGAAAACTAAAAGAAAGGAGAAAAAAAAACAAAACCGAAGAACGCAGAGTCAAACGGAGAAACAAAAGAGTAGTAAATCAAGCAATCAAAGTTGGAAACGGAATTCAAAATATGAACAAGAAACGTAAGAAAGTAAACAAAACGAAAGAGATTTTAAAAAAAACTCAAAGATTAAAATAGTTTCAAATCGCGATTTAGGAGTTCATCCACTACTGATCCAGGCCATGGAAGCATCCTTAATGATTTCCAGTACATTCTTTTCCCGATCGATCAAATATGCCTAACAAAGAGATATTTGAAATGCGTGCCTAAAGTTAAAAAGAGAAAGAAGTTACCTTGGACAAGAGAGCGAAAAAAGAGAAGGCAGGTTTGCTTGGGATTAACAAGTGAGCTGGGAGAAAATAGTTTGCTTAGCTTTGCTGCGAGGTTGGAGTTGAGGAAGGTATTTATAGTTGCCGCGTTTTACACAAATATAACTTTAAAATGCAGCCAACGGTACGTTTGAATGGCGAAAAGGAAGGGGAAAAGGAACACGTGGGGTTTGTTGGGGACGGATCGAGTATTAGGCTAAAGATATCCCCAAATCCCGAAGCAGGCTGCTTTTCGAATCTTTTTCTGTTATGCCCTTCCTGAGAACCAAAAACCTTCCCTACTATCTATAAGTTAAATTTATCGGTTGTTCAATTTTTAAATATTTATTTATATTTTTTACCTATAACATTATTATTATTTAATATTTTTAGTAGCGTTAAATCAACTTTATTAAATATTTTATTATATTTCCGATCATGTTATTTTTTAACCGTATATTAGATCATATTTCTTATATTTCCTGCGACAATCCCTCTCTCCTTACTCCCACCCTTATTCGGGTTTTGACATTACCTTATCAACTTTCATGAACCTATTCTAAATATCTTTGATCTAATCAAACTACCTTAGTAATAAAGAGAAATATTATTATTATCAAAGATTTTGAGTTTGAATAATTTTGTTTGTAAAGTATAAATGTAAAGTTGATTGTTAAAAAAAGATTATGAATGATACTAACAACAATAATCGAACAGGATAAATTTAAAATTCAACTAATTAATACACTGTAAGAGGTTAGTGTATTAATCATGGTGGCCAGTTTTCAAGTTATTGGGGTAAATGATTCTAGATATTAACCATGTGAATAATTCAAAAAAGGGAAGTCAATGGAGGTGAAAAAGAAGGAAGTGACAGTAGCTTGACAGGGCTTCTATTTTTTTTATACGATAGACAGAGACAGATCTAAGATAAAAATTTAGAGGTTGCAAGAATTTTAGGGGTGACACTTTTAAATGATGATATTTGTATTAATTTTGAGGGATTTATACATGAACTTGTTGTTTGAGAAGAATTTTGAGGGAAGGGCACCACTCAGGTCCGCCCCTGGGGATGGACCAAATTACTTATTTAAAAATTGGGTAAATTATACTATTTCAAATTATACACTCTCTCATATTTTTACTCATAGTACTTTTAATTGTTGTAATTTATATACTAAACTTTTGAATAGTTTATGTTTTGATTATTTCAAATAATTTTATTATTATTTTTGTATGATGTGACATCTTTTATTATTATTTAATATAAAATAATTTAAAATAAAAAGCATAAGATGGTCGAACACCACTGCAGACCGCCATTGACAGTAATAAATGATGATTGTTTAGTCTCAAATTTCATAGGTCGCTTTACCTCGACAATGTAAGTCCGAATTTGACCTCCATTTTGTCGAAACTTGCTCAGAAGTCTATGAATTAGAGATTAAAAGTAAGGAAGTCAAAACGTTTCAGTCAAGTCGACACCAAATTCGGATTCGGGGGTCGAGACGAACCGACCCATGAAATTTGAGACTGAACGACCACCATCTACGGCGATTGACGATGGCATCCGATCACCTTATGCATTTATTTTATATTTTCAATTACTTTATATTAAATAATAAAAAAAATATCATATCATATCAAAATAATAATAAAATAATTCGAAGTGATCAAAACAGGAGCAATTCAAAAGTTCAATGAGTAAATTAGATAAAATGAAAATACGGTGAGCAAAATAAGAGAGAGAATATAGTTCAGTGAGAAATAATGTAATTTACCCTTAAAATTTTTAAGTTATCATCTATTTTAAATATATATATATATATATATTATATTTTGTAGGTAATCTATTTTTACTCTTTTATATTTTTATAAATTTGTCTATACTAAAATTTTGGGTAAATTTCGCATTTAGTATTTAAACTATTATTTTTAGTTTGTTTTTGTACCTAAGCTTTTAATTTTTCAAAACCATGCGTAAAGTTTAATTATTGTTTCGTTTTAGTGTCTCGTCGTAAAAAAAATTAACGGGTGATTTTCATGTGACACTTTTTTTATGGGTAAATTGCATCATTCATCACTTAACTATCTTCTCACTCATATTTTGGTCACTAAAGTTTAAATTTTTTAATTTAATTAATTAACTTTCAAATTACTCCTAATTTAGTCACTCTGACTTCAAATTTATTTTTTATTTTTAATTATATATAATAATAATAATGCCATATCACAAAAATTATTAATAAAATAAAATAGAGTGAAAATAGGAGCAATTTGAAAGTTGAGTAGTTAAATTGAAATTTTTTAAACTTTAGTACCAAAATAGGAGTAAGAAGATAGTTGAGTAATCTATGATTTAATTTACCCATAAAAATATACAGCGTCGTTAAATTTTTAACGACGATGTATTAAAATGAAACAAAAACTAAACATTATATATGATTTTGAAAAAATTGAAAGTTTAGGTACTAAATGCATAATTTACCATAAAATTTTATAAATTTATTCCTGTAATATAAAATCTTGTGTTCGTTCCTATTTATACGTAATGGCTGTGTTTATAATTTTATACACCAATGGCTTAATGTAAAAATAAATGCCCAATTTATACAAAATTAATTTTAAGTAATTGAAGAATTTTTTCGTTAAAAAAGATGCCTAACTTTTCAAATATTACACTTTTAACCGTTTGGACTGTGACCATAGTTAAATTCGACCGTTAAGTGAAATGTGTTAAGCATATAAATTTAAAAATATATATTAAAAAACACTTAAATTATTATTTTTCTTTTTAAAACCCAATTTTTTGAAATTATAAAAAAACTCAAAACCCCAAAAAAACCTAATTTCCCCTCAACACCACCAACTGTCACAACCGTTGCCAATCGGCCAAAAAATTCAAAGGTGCACAACCACTCGAACACCCAAAGACCAAACCCCCATGTTTCAAACGATGATTGCATCAACTTATTGATTCCGACTAATGATGATAGTTCCATCGATTCAAGTAATTTTAATCCCCTCAGCACCATCGACCATCACAACCGCTGCCAATCGACCAAAAATTTGAAGGTGTGCAACCACTCGAACACCCAAAGACCGAACGCCCATGCTTCAAGCAACAATTGCAACAATTTATTGATTCCGACTAACGACGATGATTACATCGATTCAAGCAACAAATCCTCTCATTGTTCGTTGAAATTTGATTAGACGAAGTGACTGGCGATAAAGATTGACAACCAAGTCAACATCGATGGCAGTCGGCGTGTATCATGAAGTTTGGAATTAGGGTTTTTAGAGTTTAGACTTTTTTTAGATTTGAGAAGAATTTAGTTTTTTTTAAATAAATTATATTTTTATTTTAAAATAAATTTTTTAAATTTTTATAAACTTGACACGTGTTACTTAAAGGTTAAATTTAACGACATATACCTAAAAGTATAACTTCAGAAATGTTAGACACATATTTTAATAAAAAATTCTAACTTATATTTAGGCACTTACTTTTACATTAAACCTGTATCAAATAAATACCACGGTAAAGCTTCAACAATATTAGATGGACACACAGCAGAGCAAGAAGAGATGAGAAAGTTGTAATCTTAACGGTGGAAAGCCGGCTACACCCGTGAAGAAAAAGATTGCAGATCAAAACAAAGCCACTTGATACATTAAAAAAAAGAAAAAAAATCTTTAATTTCATGATATTCCCGTGCCTGAATCACCAACAGAATCTCAACGTCATGGGAAATGCGGTGCATTCTTCCCGCAGCTGCTGGATTTTTTTTTTTTGTGAACTTGCTACTTACTATTTTCTTACATGCATCAGAACCTGGCTGTGATTCTGGAACTTCGAGTCCCATCAAGGCATCCTTTGCCTTATGCCTCCGGCAATTGGGACCGAAAAAGATCACAAAACACCCAAGATGAGCTTAGGTCTTTGTACAATTACAGGCAAGTATTTCACGGGATAAAAATGGAACTCTTCTCCCTAAATATCTTCTGGTAGGTGTAAGCAATTAAATGAAAATATCAGAGAACTTAGAAGTAAGTCTACATAAGTTTTCACATAAGGAGGAATCGGCCATAGGGTGTGTGTTGATGAACCATGATGCATGGATTTCAAAATGGACCATATGGCTTAGTGACTATCCTACGACCGTTACATTATTGAAAAGTTTACAGTTCCTAAAGCATGCTAGCAAAGAACAAGTTTTTATTCGCATGCTAATATAATTTAAAGCTTCCACATTCATCGGTAAATTTTTCTTTTTCCACAACAATCCAGGTACTTAAAGATCAATCTAAGAAAGATCAGTATGTTCTAGTGGAGACATGCAGGGTCCTCAAAATCTCTTCGGAAAACTCCGGCACCTTGGTACAAGTAATATGATTGATAACAAGAGAAAAGGAAAAGCACAAACATATCAGTTATACTAGCCTGCCATTCCAAAATCTACTAGTTAACTGTCTCCTTTCTCATTTGTGGCCATTGGTAACTCTCCTGCACAGCACCTTTCAGCGGCATCTATTTCCCTTCCTCTATTAGCTCTCCTTGTTCCTTTCCTTTTGCTTTCTAAACAGGGGTTGGAAGTGACTCTCGTTCATTCCCTTTCCTAGGACAGCACGATGCCAATTTGCATCAGTCTGAAGCGAGCAGTGGTTCCTTTCAGAGGATTAGAAACCTAAAGGTAACAACCATGATATCATTGAATCTGATCCTTGAAACATAATGTTCTTCTGTAAGATTAGAATAGCATCTCGTCTGATGAATTGATAGTGTGGTATAGGTTTATTTGAGGATCTGAAAAAAACTAGCCATATGACTTGACCCTTTTGTATGAAGGGGATCAAGGACTCAGACTGGTTTCCGGGCGAAGCATTTCTCTTTAGAGGTAATGAATAGGACCCAAGTTTTGCATACCTGGGAGGGACTATTATTGCTTAATTTCAGAAGAACATTATGCTGAGAATAGGCATCCTCATCTCTATCCCCTTTGCCATAGGAATTAATAGAACCGTGGCCATCCTAATTCCTATTTTCAACAATACATCCCAATATTCAGAAAGCTTAATGCAGAGAGAAAAGTTTAAGGGTATGAAATATCATCATCAAAGACGAGTCAAGTGATAACTGATAAGAAGTATGTAACAGTATAGAACACATTTTATATTTGAATCTGTCATATATTTTCATTAAAAAAACAAAAACTAAGATAATGAAAAAAAAATCTGAAATGGTACATTTACCATGTAAACACAAACAGGTTTTCTCAAGGACTAAAGTACAAACAAGATGGCAGTATTAAACTATAATACTATTGATATTTTAAGACAACTATTGCCATGGAGGATTAGAACCCTCGCTTACAGAAGGGGGACCTGGAATTCATGCTGCCATCCCTTCCAAACCTTGAAACACTTCTTACACTTTTAGGAGTATACACCCCTGGGCTTGCACCTCGATAACTGGCTCGAAGAGTTTCATCCACTGAAGAAGAGGACTTTGCGATTGCACTTCTAACAAACTTCTGGGCAGCAGGGGAAAGTGTTCGTACACTTGGACTGGCACTGCCGCCTCTATAAGGTGATGGCAACGGTGGCTTCTTAAACATCTTTGACCTCTCTCTCAATTTCCGAGCTGCTTCCCTTGATAAGGAGTGTGCCTTCACATCTCTGGCAGGAGGACAAGGAATCTTAAAATGAGGCCCATCACCGCTACCACCAATATCAATTGGTGTATCCTCAGGTTCCAACCTCAAAGGGGTGCCTTCAATTTCACCCCATGTAATAAAGGGGGATCCATCAACACCTGGCGCAGGTGAAGGTGTCCTTACAAAACTATAACCATTCTCGGCTTTCTTCCCAGATTCCACATAAAACTGATTGGGGGTCTTTCTCAAATCCTCCAGATCATACTTTTTGCCCTTATCCTGATCCCTACCTGACATAGGCATTGGAGTCGCCCCAGCGACAGGAGTATATAACACCTCCACGGATCCATCATCTTTTGGCCTTGAGTCCATAACTTTACCATGAAAACGAGTGTTCCCCCTACTGATCTCCTTAGTCAAACCCTTCAATCTTATAGCTAGCTCCTCCTCGGTCAATGGGGCCTCACCCCTATCAGCCGGATGATACATCAATAAATTCTTGGCCGTATACTTCCACCCTTCCAATGTGCTTGGTGGCTGATCAGACGTTCCATATCCATCTGTGATCCTATCCCTTTTTACGTCCTCTATTAATTTAACATCCTCCTCCCCGTTTTCTCTCTGTGTTAAAAACGCATACTTCTCTTTCTTCTTCCTGTTAACTTTCTCTAAAATCTTTGAAAAGCTTTCATTGTCCTCACTAGTATACCTCCTAAAGAACTCATCTAATGATAAATTCGTATCAACATCCTCCTCGCTTTCCCTACAATCAGCCTCACCGGATAATCCCCTACCTAAAACACTAGGGGTTTGAGGTGTTTTACCGTCAAATTCATTAAAAAGGAGTAAAATTCCTCATAAACGTAGAACCAGGGGTTTGGGTTTGACTTCTACGCTCTGAATTTGCATTATTTACCTTTTTCCCGCGGCGTTCGATGATCTTCAATTGGGCATCACGGATTTGAATCGGATCGCCCGTCTTGATGGCTTCGAGCCAATCGAGCCGATCTCGGAGCTTGGAGATATCAGGGAAGAAATCGCGTTCGACGATCTTCTCGATGGCGGCCACATAGGAGTCTTCGTCGAGGACCCGGGGGCGTTTTCTGCTAGGATTACTTTGGGTGATTGAGGAAGAAGCGCCGGGAGTTTTAAGAGAATTTCCGGAATATAGAGACGGAGACGGAGACGGTGATGAAACGTGGCGGGGAGAGTAGCCTGGAGATCGAAGCATGGTGTCTGAGAAATTAGGGTTTTGAGAGAAAAGAAAATCCGATTATCTACACCTTGTATAAGAGGATGCAAGACGTGTTTTTTCAAAATTAGAGAAATTAAATTACAACATAGGATATTCAATTTAAAATATTTAGAGTTATTATCCAGCTTAATTATATATTTGACCTTAAATTTGTTATTTTTTTCTGACATGATATCTATTTTTCCTAAAAAAATATTGTTTATTGTTGTAGTCTTATTGTGGTATGTCTTTTTATTGTTTGAATTAGTTCACTTATATTTTATAAAAAAAAAATTGTTCGAATTTGGGTCATTAAAGAGAAACGTCATTTGAAATATTTATTAGATTCATGGTCCGTATTTTATGTTGATATAATGTCAAAACAAATGTCCGTAATATTTAATAAAATAATCAATTACGTCCTTATTTTTTTTGAGTACTTTGATTCTTAATTAATTATTTTAGAGTAAATAATTAGGTAAGTTATATATTTAGTATCTAAATTATCAATTTTGATCTGTTTTAGTTTTAGTACCTAAACTTTGAATTTTTTAAAATCATACATAGAATATAATTTTTGTTTCATTTTAGTATCCCGTTCAAAAGATAACGTTAAGTTTAAAACAATTGAAAGTATAAATATTAAAACTGATAGTTATGTACTAAACGTTTTAAGTGACACTATACTAAAATGAAACAAAAACTAAATGTTATGTATGATTTTAAAAATATTAAAGGTTTAGATATTAATAAAATTGATAGATTAAATATTAAATATATAATTTACTCTAAATGGTTTATGATAAAAAAGAAATCATGAGGTGAAAAAATATATATCATATGTCACATCATTAATTATATAAGAACTTTAGATTCATGAATCTTATCATGTTAGCTAGGAGCATTGGTTGATTGTTAGTATCTATCTAACCAAAGATTATTTTACCTCAAACTAAGTATAAAGTAAAAAATAAAAATAAAACTGCAATAATTATTTAGTTAAACATTAATTTTTTTGTCATTATACCTTTGTATGAATTTCATTTTGTCTACTACACTGGTTTTTTTTATAGCAATAATAAGTAATGTTATTAAAATCGGATCGAACCGGCCGGTTCGACCGGTTGAACCATGAATCGGTGGCCTGTCCGGTCCGGTTAACTCCCAAAACCGGATTAGCACAGAACCGGAAGAACCGGCTGAAAACCGGGAAAACCGGGGTGAACCGGCTGAAAATCGGTAAAACCGGTTTGAACCGTCGGTTCACTTTTTTTCTTTTAAAAAAAATTAAACCAAACAACGTCGTTTGTTCAACAAGCCGAGTCAAATTCGAGTATTGCTGAGCTCGACTCGAACTCGAAAACTTTAAAAGTAAGCTCAACTCGACTCAAAAACTCACGAGCTAAAAATTATCAACTCGAAATATAATATTAAAACTTGAAATCGAAAAGGCTCGAACTCAAAAAAAAAATTTAGAAGTTTGATTGAAGCCTAAAATTTGAACTCAATTGAAGCCTAAAATTTGAGCTCAATTGAAGCGAAAGAATAGTTCGCTTTGTGCTCACCAAAAGGCTCAATGATTTTGAATGTCAAATTACCTCTATTATTTATAGAAGTAAGTTGAGATGCTCTTCTATGTTTCTTAGCCATGTGAGATTGTTTTGTTCTCATATTTTTACTCTTTAAACTTTTGGGATACTCTTCTATGTTTCTTAGCCATGTGAGATTGTTTTTTTAAAACAATTAAACCAAATGACATCATTTGTTATGATTTTTTTAAACCTCAATTTTATTTTTTTGATTATAGTTATATAATTATATTTATTATTTAATATGTTTTACCTTAAATATTATGTTGTAGTTGATTTGAATCATTTTGTTTCACTTGATTTTATGGTTTTTCATTTATACATGTTATGACTTGTGATATTTTTATACATTTTAATATTGTAAACTTAAAAAAAGTGTTACATATATATTAATATTGTTTTGAATATTATGTAAAATTAAAAAAAAATTATTTTATATAAAATCCGGTTCAACCGCGGTTGAACCCAGTTGAACCAGTACCTTCACCGGTTCAATGTCCGGTCCGGTTTTGAAAACATTCATAATAAGTAATTGACAGCAACTTTTTTCATATTAGTGTTAAAATAACGTAACTGGAGGTGGTTATTATAATTCACTATATCATTATTCTTTTTATATGTATGTATAAAACGATATAGATATTTGTAATATTTAATATTACCTCTAGAATTGTATATTAGAAGAATTTATATATTTATAATGATAAATGACTAATCAACAATCTAATGGTCACTAGAATCTATAATAGGGGTGAGTTTTACCATTATAGTAAGAGTGGAAAAAAAATAAGAAAATGGCGTCAAAAGTGTGAGTTATATAAAGAGAGCTTAGAGACAAAGATGAGAAAAGTAGCTGGATAAATGAGTAATATTGTAATTGTATTTTGTATAAATAAAAATATTATATTCTCTTAAGTTTCATGTTAAGTCTTAGTTGTTTTTAAGTTCTTAGTGCACTTATGCTAATTTTACTATATGATCGACACTGCCGCCTGATTGATATATGATTTGTTATATCGCCTTATTGATATATGGTTAGTTATATCACCTTATTGATATATGGTCACCTCGACCACCTGAATTATATATTCTTGGTCATGCCTCCTAGTATTATTGTGTACTAAGAATTTTATGAGATAAAAGGCTAACCAACATCAAAAGTGTTGTTGTAGTGTGACTGATATATCTTAGGTCCTCTATAGTAGGTATATTTGGGCTCGTCAAAATTTCTAACACTGTACATCTATGATTTAAAATGTTGACGTGAAGATTACAGGTAAAACTAATGAAGGGATGATAAATTGATCTTGCATAAGGGTTTTTCCTTCTCTTTCTTACATAATATATTGTATATCTAGTTACAGGTGTAAACGAGTCGAGTCGAGCTCGAGTATTGTTGAGCTTGACTCGACTCAAAAACTCTGAAAGGAAGCTCGACTCGAACTCGAAATCCTAAACTGAAGCTCGTGAGCAACTTGAAAAGGCTCGAAATGAAAAAAAAATCTTAAACTTAACTCGATTAAAGCCTAAAACTCAAACTCGAACATGAACCTTAAATACATGAAATCTTACTTTATTTTTTAAAAAATCAATACATAAATATTAATATTATTAATAATTTATTTTTAAAAAATAAAATCTTAATATATTATATTTTCGAGCTACTTACAAGTTTTTCGAGTTGAATATCGAGTAGCTCGTTTCGGCTCTTTAAGAACTCAAGTCGAGTTCATTAGATCCGAATATTTATCGAGCTTTAATCAAATCAATCTCGAATAACTCACAATCTATCTCATCTCATTTACCGCCCTACATCTAGTCTTGGTTTCTTGTCTTTGTTATTTCATTAATTTGGGTTTCTGTTAAATGAATCAGAGCTATGTTTCAAGGGGGGAAATTTCAAGAAAGAGAGGAAGAGAGCTGGTGGTAGAGGCTATCGAGGAATGTAGGGGCAAAAATAAGTCAATTTCACCAATAGTAGCATAAGAGCTAAGACCATTAATTCTGGGTACATCAACATTTATTGCTTGAAGGAAACCAATGATTTGGTCCTATTTCCTATAAAATTGACTTATGTCAGTTTTGCTTTTTCTTTTTCAGCTACGTTGTATGTATCTATGCCTATGCAACAAAAGCTAACACTAATTTCTTCGGCGTTTTTCCAATATATCACCTTTTTTATTTTTTCCCTTTTAGATTATTTTTTTTAATTTAACACCCTTTACAGTAAGACACGCAGTGTTCTTTGTAACTCACTTTATGTTGATCTGTAACCACGTGGTGTAAGACGCCCCTTGGAACGCGCCTTATGTTGATGTAAGTTACACGTGTGTAAAGCGCAGCCCTTAATACGCGCATTATGCCGCGTAGGATAATAGTACAGGACAGAGGCCGCGTCTTACCTTTAATTTAATTATATATATAACACAATTATTAAATTTTATCAAACTAATAACAATTTGATATTTGAACATAATTTTAAATACAACAAACTTACAAAAAATATAAAATGATAAATGATAACCAAATAACAATAATTGATATTAAATGATAATAAATAGAATTAACCAAAATACATTAACAAAACTGTATAACAAATTTAACAAAATAAATTAAAATAAATCCAATCACATTAACGAAAAAAATAAGTATTAAATAATAAATAATAAAAAAATTACAATAAAAAGTCCAATAAACAACTAAATACAAATATAATAAAAAAATAAATTTTATCGATGCATGCGACGCGAATGTGTTCCGCAAGACAGTGTCTGTCGGCCTCGAGGAGGATTTCTTCGTATCACTGGTTGTGACTCCTCGCTGTCATCATCATCACCATCGTCGTCGTCGTCGTCGTCCTGAGCAGCTACATTTTATTGAGGAGGAGCTGATGACGATGAAGCACCTCCATATAATAAGGACCCTGGAGGTGTATGAATGACTATCCCACCGGCCTGCGAAAACTGGGAAAACTCATAAAACCTAGACATCGCCGAGTGTGAAAACTGTACAGGAGGTGTCTGTGCTGCGGCCATAGGTGATGAGGTTGCACCCGCCAAATATCCAGCATATGAACCCCAAGTAGGATCTGCAAACATAGACTCATAATATCCTTCAGGAGGGGTCATATAACTCTGTGGTGGTGGCGGGGTCATAAAACCAGGTGACGGTGGTGGCGGAGGCATCGGGTAAGAGAATGGTGGTGGCAGCATCATATATGGTTGCGGTATGTAAGTCGCTGGAGACGGTGACTGATGTGAAGGTCCTGCTGGTGCAACTGAGGACGAACCAGACGCACCTGCTCTCTGTCCACGAGTCGGAGGACGATGGTGCTGTGTCGGTGAACGTCTCTGTCGACGTCGCTGAAAGGTCCGCCCTCGTGCATCCTCGAGACACGTCCTAGATAGTCTCGACACAAAACAGTCCATGAACCGTGCGCCATCCCCGATATCACATCTCCATCCACCGGA